CCCCTGCACCCCTGCTGGGCAGCTTGTCCCAGCCCCAATCCCTCCCTCCCTCCCTCCTTCCTCTCTCCCCCAACCCCAACAGACTTACCAGCTGGAGGCAGCTGCCTGTTAAGTCTATGGTCGAGTCTCTGAAGCAGTGCCGAATCTTTGGATCTGATTCGGCCAAATGGAATTGGGACAGTGATTCAAATGTCCAAATCAAATTGCTGTCCCTCCGATTTGGCCAAATCCAAAGCGAATACTTGCTGCTTCGCACAGGCCTGCTAACAGCACATAAAACACTTTGTGGATAGTCCTCTGAGAAGTTTGAGTCTGCCTGGAGCTGCATCTATACCAAGGGCTGTGATCGTCTAGCTCCACTAATAGAGGTTAATGCTGTTTGACATAAGGAGGTGGAGTGTGGGTCATAAACATCTAAATAGGTCCTAAGGGACCAATAAAACTAGTACGTTAGTAAAGATTAGCCACATGTATCCCACTGACATTTTCTTGATGCTTACCTCAGGTTTCCTTCTCTCCTCAGCTGTCCCTGAAGTGCCGGGCTCCTGAAGTGTCCCAGTACATCTACCAGGCCTACGACGCCATTTTGAAAAACTAACAGGATTGGTCTGTGCCTCGCCCCACGGAGGGAGGACGGGGGGACTCCGGATGGTCCTCTTGTTGGTGTGGGCAAAACAGTCTAACTGGAAGCAGCTGTATTCATGTGTAGGATTTCAGTCAAAGGCACTGAGAAACCAAGGTAGCGATTAGTCTCCACGTGCTAATAATAATAATAATAGGGAACAAACCTGTTTGATATTTTTAGCGTCCATGGAAACTTTGTAACCACTGCTTCGACCACCCCCCTGTTACCCTTTCACCACCACTGCTGCTGTTCTTTCTCGTGGGCTTCTCCATCTCGTGCCAATGTTCAGCATTTTCTAAACTGCTTTAGGCGTAGGTAATATTTTGTAAAATATGGCTCATTTCAAAACAACCCCCCCACCAAGTCTCTGTTCATTAAAACAAGGCAAATGCATCGAAAACATAAAAATTGCACTTTATTTTATATTTTTTATACATTTGATTTTTTTTTTTTTTTTTAATTGTAACCGGCTTTAAAAAAACAACAAAGGAAAAGCAAATCCATGTCAGTGAAAGTATCCAAAGGAATGAGATGGACTTTCCCAGAGCTAATGATGAGCAGAGGGAGCATGAGAGGGGTCTCATGTCCAGGAATTGAAAGGAGGCCCTGAAATTATTGTATTTGTGCTGGGTGACTTGCCCAGTTCATCCAAAATATTACACTCTTCCCTCCCCCGCCTTCTCCCCACCATTTCCCAATCATCTCACCTGCTCATTAGCCACTGATTTGCTGGACAGGATTTTTATTGTGAAGTAGATGGGAGCACGAGCTGGTTGGGTTTATATGACAATGGTACAGCATAGTGAAAAACCAAGGGAACAGAAACTTCCCAACTGGGGGCACCTGGTAGAGTGTGGGATGTCATCCTTGCCTTTTTTCTGTTTGTAAAACCCCTTTCTTGGTCATCCCCACCCTGCCTGCTGCTGCTAGAGTCCGTTTGCAGCCCCTGCCCCCAATTCACCTGTGTCAGCTTCAGCTGGCCTGATTGCATTTCATTTAGCAGTGTATGTTGGCCAGACTGAAAGACTTATGCAGGAAATCTGTAGGGTAATCGCAGTCACTTGCCCATGTTTCTCCATAGCAGCATCAGCTGATTCACTTTCACACCTCAGTGTGCTGTGAGCAGGAGCACAGGGCTGCCTTGGGCAATAATGACTGAAGTACTGAGGGATCTGAGACTCACCTTGTCCCCTTTATAGGAGTGTTCTGAGGTCAGCAAGACAGGAGACAGGTTTGCGCCTGGCAAATAATCCCTGGCTTTGGATAGGCAGGTCTGTCAAAATCCTAGCAGATGCTTGGGGGAGAGCATCCATAGAACAGGGGAGGTCCCTGAGAAACTGTGCAGGAGTTGCAGCTTATCTGGTGGTACTGAAGTAACTACGTGATGATGGGAAGGAGGGGGAAGATCCCTTGGGGTCAGTCTTCTGCCATGTTTTGATGTTACTTTGTAACCCTCAGTGCTGGATGCTCCTGTTTTAGTGGCCAGTGAGCATGGAGCTTGAGCAGGGTCCTTGGTTCTAGCCCCGATTCCAAAAGCTGGGTCTGGGCTTCCTGTGCCACAGGCAGTGGACTAGGGATCATTTGAGTCCCTGTTGTCTAAAACTCCCCTGCATGGGGAGGGATTTAGGAGTGCTCTCTCCCTTCTTTGCCATAGATCCTTGTCACATGGCATTCTCCAGGGATCAAGGATGGCTGCTTGTTGTCTCTCTGTGCTGTGGAGTTGCCATGTCCCAGGTAAGGAGCTGAAATGGACTCCATGAAGGCTAATATAAAAGCAAAGCCGCTGCCTGCCTCGGCTCTATTCAGAAACCCTGCACAGCTTTGCACTTAAATTAGGCCACACAACAGAATGGATTCTGCTGTCCATGCCACTCTCCTGCTTCTGCTTGATACAGCATCTTCCCCCTAGTTTGAGCAAGGCCCTTCATGCCTCCCTGGTTTAAACCACTTCCTACCCTTAAAGCAAGGCATTCACAAGCTTCTGCAGTACCAGTCAGAGGAGATGGCTGGGGTCCAGTCACCCGTCTTTTGCCACTATCAGTTCTTTGGGAGGATACAGAGTGGGGCTGTAATGTTAGAAAATATAAGGAAAAGGAAGGGTCAGCCAGGTTCTGAATTGGAGACTCCTGAAGCCATTCCTGAGCCAGTGAGTAAGGAGTGGAACAGTAGGATTCTTAGTCAGTGGTACAGGATGGTGTCCTCTATGCAGAGCAATTTGGTTTGGCAGCAAGACTCCTGGCTAAGAGGAATGTGGGACAGTGTTGTTGAAGCCTGGCACTTGCACATTGAGCCAGCGTGGTGGCTTGGCGCCCTGTGGATCGGTGGGCTGAGAACGCTACGTAAATAATTCTTACAGTAACTAATAAAGTGCTGGCTGTGCTGAGATGCACGCTGTTCTCCATCCTGTCCTGAGCCAAGCTACATAGTGGCCTTGCCTCTTGGAAGCTTGCTCTTTGGAGGCGAGCTGTGCTAGTAGGCAGAGCAGGCCTGAGAGCTGCCAAGGTGGGAGAAGGCAGCCTGGGTAGGGGACAGGGGACCCCTGCACGCAGGTCCTTCCCCTTGCTGCAGTGCCACGTAATGGGTTTTCTGCTCAGTCTGCACCAGATTATGCCCGTGAGTTGGAAGAAGCAGAAGAGGATCTCCAGGATTAACGCCACAAGTCTTACTCAATTGGCCCCAGGGAAGAGAGTTCCAGCTGAGTACTCAGCCAGTCCTGCCTGCCATAAACTCCTTCCCAGCATCCATGCCTCTCTCCTGGCCTGTGCTGTGTTTGTGTGTCTGCATGCTGTGAAGCGTGGTATGTGGGGAGAGGAGCGGGAAGGCAAGGAAGGGGGGTTGGTCAGTGGCAGCCCCATTCCATTGGTTTTATTGTTCATCCTTTCCGATGTGTTCACTTTTTGGTAAGCTTTCCCTTGTGTCCTTGTCAATAAACTGTCATTTACACTAAGGCCCCTGCTGTGGTGTGACTCTGTCTGGGTAAGGGGCAGGTGTGTTACAGCCTGTCTGGTGCTGCTGGGTACAGTAGGAATAGCCAGTTCAGTTACTGTCCATCCCTTTCAGAGACCCATTTAGGATGGACATGCTGCTTCTTTTTGCTCCTGTCCTTGGATGTGCCGCAACCCCTTGCATGTTCTTTGGAAGCAGAGAAGGTGTCTTGTGACTGGGAGATTCCGATTCCACCCCAACAAGCCAGCATTCTGTTCCCTGGCTCTGAGCTCAGTAATTCCCCTGCCCAGGGGATGTACGTCGCCTCCCTTCTGTGCTTTCCATTACTATGAGTGAGATCAGTGCCCCCTGTGCCAGGTGCTGTTTCATCACAATGAGAGCTGATGTCTGTTCTGAAGAGTTTGGCACTCTTAATAGGCAAGATGGAGAGGGTAAACTGAGGCATAGACTTTGTGTAAAGCTTGCACCTCTATACAAGCTGCTAAATGCACAGTAGATTAATTCTACTGTGCATTAGTGCGTCATGGCAAAAGCTGTGCTAATGCACAGTAGAATTAGTCTACTGCACATTAGTATCACTTAAAATACATATGCCGGTGCTATTGCGCAGTAGCGCCAGTTACTGTGCATTGAGTTAGTACCTGTAACAGGTACTAAATTTTAATGTGCTGTAACTATGGCACATTAATGAACGTGTAGCCATGACTCTCATCTGGAGCAGGATGGAGACGGTAAATAAAGGAAGGAACATTGCTGAATCAAGCTCGCTTACCCTTCCCTCTCTCCTTGACTTCTGGGAGGGACAGGAAATCAGAGCTTGGCTTGGTTCAACAGGAGTCAGTGAGCAAGCAGTGGACCTGATCCTGTAGGAAGGGAATGAGTGGTCAGCTAAGTATTCTTGAAAGCCCCAGTTTCTGGAGTAATGGGGTTACGTGAGAATCTCAGCTTGGATTTTAAAAATAAAGCAAGGTTTTATTGCATGTGGCTTAGAAAATGAGCCTTGTGAACAGAGAGGGGCTGCAGGATTCGGAACTAGAAAACAACTGAACAATTTCCATAAATTCATTAACAAGAGTAATCTGAGGGTTGTTTGCAGACATATCAGGATTAGAGAGCCCTTTGCTAACTTGAGAGCACCTGATACATTTTGTTGGAGCACTGAATCAGCTGAAGGTCCAAGTGAAGGGAGCAACCACATTGCAAGCACCAGACTGTCTGCAAGGGAGCAGTGACATGGGTGAGGTGAAGAAGACTAGGAACCCTGGGAGGGCTGAGCTGGTTCTCCATGTGCACAGTATGCCCCAAAATAGTGGCTGCAACAGAGTACTCATAAGTTGTCTTCACTCAGGCCACGCAGTCCTGAAGAGACTGAGACAGGTGGGGTGAATTTGAAAACAACCATTCAAGCTACCTAAGAACTGTTGATGTCATCCTATGCTCTGCTTAGCTCCAGCAGGCTTAGCTCTTGATAAGCCCCTGCTGTATCTTTCTTTAGTTTGTTGGAACCATTCCTGATGGAACAGCTTTATGAAATCTACTTTTTGTACTCCATTTGAATTCACTAGAAGACTTGCTTTCTACTAAGTTAAAAGGCTTGAAAGCCATTGGTTATCCTCTCTATCAACCTGATGGGTTCAAGAGCAGAAGAACCTCATTTTTGTGGTCTTGAAGCCCTCAGGAAACAATCACAAACATATTAAGAAGAACTGAGACCAGGACTGATTAAATGATGAGGCCAAGATCAAACAGGACATTGGTGACAGAACTAAAAATCATAGAATCATAGAAAGTTAGGATTGGAAGGGACCTCAAGAGGTCATCTAGTCCAACCCCCTGCTCAAAGCAGGACCATCCCCAGCTAGATCATCCCAGCCAAAGCTTTGTCTAGCTAGGTTTTGAAAGTCCCCAAGGATGGAGCATCCACCACCACTCTGGGTAACCTGTTCCAGTGTTTTACCACCTTCCTAGTAAGAAAGTCTTTCGTAATATCTAACCTAAACTTCCCTCGCTGCAACTTGAGACCATTGCTCCTTGTTCTGTCATCTACCACCACTGAAAACAGACTCTAGCTCCATCCTCTTTCGAACCTGCCTTCAGGTAGTTGAAGGCTGCTGTTAAATCCCCTCTCAGTCTCCTCTTCTCTAGACCATGGGTTCTCAAACTGTGGTCTGTGGACCACCACCGGTCCGCAAGCTCCACTCAAGTGGTCTGCAGAAAGGTTGCGGAACAATTAAGAATATCTGTAGTTGGCCCTGCACTTGAATTATGTTTTCTGACGACGGAGATCAAGGCCATTTTGACGATGATGCGCTAAAGAAAAAAATGTTATTTTATTTTTATTCATATTTAATCCAGAAGCAAAACATGTCGTTTTTAATATTGGTATCACCCTACTACACTACATACATAGCTTTAATTGGCCACATTTTTCAACTGTATATGCGTGGTTTTCATTGGACACAATACCTGTATTGTATTTATTGGTCATCATTGTCACGTAGAAAGTACTAACTGTACCAGAATCTAGTGCTTTTTCAAAAAACATAAGTCGTCAGGATAGTAGTCAACCCCCAGAAATGGATTTGCGGTTGAAAACAGCATATTTGAAAAAAGAAAACAACAAATAATCAAACCAGTGGTGGTGAGATCAGCGAAAAGTTCGAAGTTGAACATGAGACTACAGCAAGCAAACATACACCTGGAAAGGAAGTTTTGAGTGCAGCCCGTGTTTACCAGGAACCAGTATGAGTAGAAGTACTGGTAATGAAAATACAGTGAAAAACGGTAAGACGGTGCATCTTAAGCTATATTAATTTAGGCTTCACATGGACTGGTGAACAAGATGAACCAAGGCCTCAATGTGTGTTCTGCTACGCACCGCCGGTTAACAAAAGCTTGAAGCCTGTAAATCTCCAGCATCATTTGAAGACAATACATGCTGCTTTCAAAGATAAACCTCCTGAATTTTTTCAGCGCAAACTCAATGAGTTGAAACAAGGGACAGTAACAATGTTTGCTCATGCAACAGTAAATGTAAAGGCCCTGGAAGCTTTGTATTGTGCAAGCCTTTGAATCGCCAAAGCAGGGAAGCCTCACACTATTGGGAAAGAACTTATTCTGCCTGCAGCTAAAGAACTTGTGTTTATAATGTGTGGAGAGAAGATGGCAAAGCAGTTAGATTGGGTGCCTCTTTCAAATGACACTGTGTCACGCAGAATTCAAGATATGGCAGCTAATGTTAAAGACATTTTTGTGAAACGTGTGAACAGCAGGAGGTATTTTGCATTGCAATTGGATGAGACCACTGATCTCGCTGACCTTGCAAATCTTCTTGCATACATCAGGTATGAGTGGGAAGGGAAAGTACTGGAAAATATTTTGTTTTGTCATTCAGTGCCAAGAAGAACAACCGCCGAACAACTTTTCCAGTTACTAGATGAGTTTGTGAAAGAACACGGTATTGATTGGCAGCGTTGCGTTGGAGTATGTACTGGCGGTGCACGAGCAAAGACAAGAAGACATAGTGGGGTAATGCCTTGTATCCACAAAGTGGCATCTAATGCCACATGGGTACACTGTAGTATTCATCAAGAGGCACTAGCTGCCAAGAAAATGCCAGTGAAAATGAAGGGTGTTTTGGACTCTGCTGTGAAAACTGTTAATTTCATAAAAGCTAGATCTATGAATTCTCGAATTTTTAGTGTACTGTGCAATGAAATGGGTAGTGCTCATGTACAACTTCTTCATTCAGTAGTACGGTGGTTGTCAAGAAGCAAAGTACGTACTCGTTTGTTTGAGCTACTTTCAGAAGTACAGCTATTTCTAACAGACCATCCATTCCAATTCACAAGTTATTTTGAAGATCTGTCCTGGCTCTCGCAATTGGCTTACCTCTCCAATATATTCACACACCTAAATGAGTTGAACGCTGGGCTGCAGGGAGTTTTAATGGCTATATTGGATGTGTGAGACAAAATCAATGCAATGATCAGGAAACTTGACTTGTTTGCTAGTCGCAGAAAAAGGGATGACTTCAGCGCATTCCCAATGTTGGGAGGTTTTCTGTCTAAAAATGAAGTGGTTCTTGACAAAAAAATAAAAAATGACATTGAAGAACATCTTGTTGCTCTCAAGAAACAGTTTGAAGATTACCTTCCAGTAGAAGCTGAACCAAACAACTAGATAGGTAATCATTTCAGAATTGAAATCACTGAGCTGCCCTTTGGTTTGTCAAATAAAGCAGAAGAGTGCTTGTTGGAGCTTTCTTGCAATAAAACGTTATGGTCAGTATTTAAAAGACATTCCTTATTTGAGTTTTGGATTCAAAGAACTGGAGTGTAGGGCTGTGCGAAGCTTCGGTCCCTGATTCAATTTGGCGAAGATTTGGCCAGATTCGGTGGCCAAATCTCCGAATCAAATCAGAGGACCCATTAACCTCTCTGTATCGAATCGGAGCCCTCTGAATCGATTCGGAGAGATTTGGAAAGATTAAGAGATTTAAACATAGAGCCAGCTTTAAATGTTTTTTCTACATACCTCTAGGTAGCAGGAGGCTTGTGAAAGCTGTGATGCTGGGGCGAATGGAGTGTCCCACAGGAACGTGGGGGGGGTCCCCGGCCCACTCGGCATGAGATCCGGAAGTGGACCAGAAGCACTTCCGAATCCAAATTGAGTAGGGCCCGTTTCGCACACCCCCACTGGAGAGTACCCAGAAATTGCAGACAAAGCACTACATACTCCAATGCAACGTTACCAATCAATACCATGTTCCTTCACAAACTCATCTAGTAACTGGAAAAGTTGTTCGGCGGTTGTTCTTCTTGGCACTGAATGACAAAACAAAATATCTTCCAGCAGTTTCACTTCCCACTCATACCTGATGTATACAAGATTTGCAAGGTCAGCAATATCAGTGGTCTCATCCAATTGCAATGCAAAATACCTCCTTCTGTTTACACGTTTCACTAAAATGTCTTTAACATTAGCTGCCATATCTTGAAT